CTCCTTTCGTCTCTCTCTCCTCCTTCTCTCCCTCTCTCTCTCTCTCTCTCTCTGTCTCCCTCTCTCCTTCCCTCTCCCCTCGCTCCCTTTCCTCTAAACCTAGACCTTAACTGTCCTCTCACCCCCTCCTCTCCATGGCATGTGACTAACCTCAACCTTCACCTGTTACATTGTCAGGGAACGAACGGTAAAGAACTTGGTCCTCACTTGGTGGAAAGCGAGGGCAAGGGGAGGGCAGCCGGTCCCTTGTGCCACGAAGAAGGAAGGGCACCAGACTGTTGTGAGCATCTGAGAAAGCGGAAAGGAGTGCTGTTTTTGTAACGAGGTCAGTTTGACTCAACCATCCTCCCCGACTGCATGACTAAGATAAAGGCATGGTTTGCTTGAGGGAAGGGAAAGACAACCAAAGGATCATCGAAGGGCAAAGGAAGCTTAGGATTGTGGGAAGGTGCGGTGTGTTGACCCCAATGGGGATTGTATTTGGTCCATGCTTCGTGTGGTGTTGTGCAGGTGAGTAGCTCGGGATGGGTGTCGAGCGGGACTGGATCCACCGGAAAAACTGGATAAGGGAGGGACTTAGACCTCGCATAAACTATGAATGCATGATGGGTTTGACGGTTGGATGCTTGGATGAATGGTAGATGCCCGGATGCGGCTTGCATGGTGATTGAATGCAATGTCTTTCTTGAATGTTGTGTATGCCCGGAAGGACTAAGGGCGGTCTTGGATAGGTGAATGCAACACTAGTGACTCAAGCAAAAACAAATATAGCGGCTAGGGGTCCCGACGAAACCACCCCACCCCGAGGATGTCGTAGGGGCTGTCTTGAGCCACTAGACTTAGTGAAAAGGTGCATGGCCCAATGGATGACGCTTGGCCTGCGCACGGCAAGAAGACGAATCCTCAACGAACTCCTTGGACTGCTTGTGTATTGGAAGGAGCAATTGCCTGATCAGACTTAATTGAATCGAGAAATCGCCACGAGTGACCAAGGAGTTATACCATCTTGACGCGAGAGCGAAGCTACATCCCCCAATGTAAAGCCCTCTCGCAAAGGCCCATCCCCATCCATCTCAAAGCACTAGGTGGGGATGCCCCTGGGACGAACGACCCGCGCCCTGAGCGTGAGCGTGGGCGGGTCGAGCCAAATGGGACCCGCAGTGGGGTCGACTCAGGCTCGAAAGTCCTTCAGGGTACGGGCCCTACAAAAATGGTGGAGGTGTCGGGTATGGGTAAACCTACCCTGACGATCTCGAGGGGGGCACCCAACGCATGACCATGTGCATAACTGAAGATAAGAAATATGGACTTGTGTATGCTATATTCCTTTGAGTGAAGCGGATTTGAGGGCGGCTGGGCACATGGCAAGGCCAGGCCTGGAGGTATAACATGCATGCTGCACACACAATCAGCCGTCTCCTTTGGAGGTGACTCTAGTCCTCCTCTCGGGCTGATGTTCGTCAGGCCGGGGAAGCCTTGGGCAAGCCGCAGGTCGACCCTTCCTCTTCGTGTGAAGGAAGGGCTCCGGTTACCTGGTAGGCGGTTGGGATTCTGGGCCAGTCCGGGTTCCAATGAAAATCCCGCGGCGGAGCGATCCGACTGACACGGGTGCTTTCTCCCCTTCGTTGGAGCCCAGCGGGCTCCGTGCACCGCACTTAAATGTTTGGAGGAACCTCATATGAACACAAAAGGTAATCGAGAAGGAACAATCCTGCCCTATGAACGGACACATGAAGTGAAGCTAAGGGGAATGAAGGGAGTTGCTAGACTCCAAGGGAAAACTAGCTCACCTTTGAAGATGCTCACAAAAAGGAACCGGACACTATGTATGGAAGTTAGGGGTGAGTGGCACACACTGTCCTGAGAGAGAATTTGTGAGCTTTGGGTAGGAAGCGTTGGGTGCACCACGGGAAAGGCACTTGTTTTATGTGTGTCCCACTTGGGACTTGTGAATGCATGACGGGGATTTGAGCGTCCTGCCATTTGGAAGGAAAGGAGGGGTCCGCACCGGCCGGTGCGAGTTGCCAAACGTCGCTCCCTTTGGTAGACTGCCGTGGGTTCGTGTGTGGAGGTCAGGCCACCGAGCTGTCGGACGGGAGTTTGTCACGTCGGTTGATTAGTAGCATTCTCGTTCGAGCGGTGATGAGTTTTGGATCGATGATCTGTCGGGAGGGGTGTGAAATCTCCTCAGGCGGGGCTTAGCCTGTTGGCTGGCGGAGGAAGTACCACTACATGCGGGCACAGACGGAGTCTCGGGGACGATTAGTAGCTTCTCGTAGCTTGGTTTGGGAAAGGTTGTTCCTTATCGGACCGATGGAAGTGAGTGCCTGGACGGCTGGCTCCAATGGCCCTACCGAGATGTGCGGGGTGATTCCCGAGATTAACGGTGGGTACACGAGCGGCAAGTCGGGATGGGGTATTCTGGGCAAGAAGGTGAGGGCGAGCCCCCACCGGAGTCTGGGTACCGCGCTCGCGACGGTTGAGCTGTGCTGGAGGTATGGGATAAAACTCTGCCGATGGTAACAGTGGAGAAACCATTTTCGGGGAGAAGGTCGATGAGGAGATGACCGACCTGTGTGCGACGTTTGCCTGAATTTTGCTTTTTGTGCCTCCCTCTGTAAAGTTGCCTGATGAATGTTGGATGGGGGTTGAGCTTCTGAGTCTATTCCCACCTCCAAGTCTAAGTCCACACGAGTGAGAGAACATGATGATAAAGGCTGGATAGGAGTCGGAAGGAAATGAAACCAAGAAAAGGGAATGCCGACTGAAGGTGACCGATCGAGGGTATGATGGGGTAACGACATCTGGGACATAGGTAGGAAATGCTGAGGAAACCCAGGGGAGGGGTCTGAAAATAATTCTCATCTAGGCGGGAGGCAATCTGACCACGAGGGGCCGTGTGGTGCTCTCATGTGGAAACAGGATAGGCGCCGGAAAAACAAGATGGCGCGATGGTTGTCACCCCTTGTCTACTCTAGCGGTCCGGAGATGCCCATAGATGTAAGGGAAGGGGAATTTGTCGTCCTCCAACGTGGACGGACCTAGAGCCAGCTTATGAAACCGTGATGCTGGACGAGAAGGATGCGTTCCTCTGGATAGAGACAATCTGGACTAAGGTCAGCCTGACAAGACTTTCACCCAGCCTGATGGACCTAGAATTCCGGGGAACGGTGGAAGCTCGAGGATGGGTATACGTATCTCAGGAAATGGAAAATGCAATGGTAGTGGGACTAGTATTGGGCACGACACCAGATCAGTTGTTTAAGCAAGCGAAACGGGAAGTGGTATGGGCGGCATTTCAGCGGGCGGAAATGGAAATGGAAAAGATGGAGGTACGAGTGGAACTCGGGGACAGGGGAAATATGAGACGCCCCCTTAGGACAATCAGGTGTGTGCTACCCCCGTTTCTGGTGGATGCAGTCTTTGGGACCAGGGATATATTGGAACGGATATGCCGGTCGATGACACGCCTGAGGCTGTACCAATGTGCCAGGCAGGATTTCTTTAGACTATCGGTGGAAGCAGGGCCGTTTGAAGGAAACAGGGCGAAAGAATTAACTGAGGTATTAAACCTTCTCAGCGCGGATGAAGTCTTTGTTCCTAGTCCGGTGCATTGGCAGATAGTCTACCGGAATGTGGCGGCAGGTGAAACCTTCTTGGAAGGAGTGAAAGAGTTGTTCTTAGACGAGGAGGAGAATTTCAGTGATGATGAGGACGGGAGTGAGATAGAGGACTGGGACTTTTGAAGGGAAGGAGGGACTTATCTGGGAACGGGCTGTCGACTATGTGCAGGTAGGGAATCGATGGATCGAGAATTCCAGCTGAGGGATTGCACGTTCGAAGGATGGGAACCAAGGCGGATTAAGGGGGGGGTAGAGATGCCCTTGCCTGCGGAATATGAATGGAGAGGAGCGACGTGTGACTGGGTCGGGCTTGAGATCGTACCGGAACTGTCATACCTATGGATAAAACGTGTTTGGAACCCCATCAGGGAGGAAGATGGATGGGAAGACATCGCAGAAGGGAGAGTGGAGTCGGTAGGGACGGTCGTCTTGTCGGAGCAAGGGTGGCATCTGTTTTGTACCACGCTTGCGGCGGGACAAGACCCGATGTGGCTTCTGGAGGGAGCAGAAACGAGGACTCAGAAGGCGGGTGAGAGGTTTGCCAATAAGGGATGGGATGAAGTACACAGCAAGGTTGTAATGGGGGGATGGAAAGAGTTTAGACCACCCTGCTCGCGAAAGAGGATCTGGGTCCCCGAGTTCGTAGTGGACTGGTTTGGGGGTTTTGACCACGTTGCGGAAGTGGCCGACACTATGGGAAGGGTGCACATAGACTACACGTGGTTGTCAGAGGAGTTTTACAAAATGTCGCTGAAGTACGGGCCTTTCCATGGCGATAGAGCCTGGGAAGTCCTCATCATTTTGAATCTGGACAGGTACGATCAACTAGAAGTAGCCCCGGAAGTTAGGGATGCCATAATCCACCGGGAGGTAGCAACTACGCCCTGTTATGTGGATGATGTGTTTAAGCTGTTCGAAGTACTGTGGTTCGACTAGGAGCTGGGAAAAACCGCAGGCCAGGCAAGTACGAGGGATTACTGAGATAAGGGAGTGGGATGTCTGGTCATTGTAGGTTTCGTTGCGAACTGCGGAGTAAGGAGACCAAGGACAAGCGCGCAGTGGCGCGAAGGAGGACGTTTCTTAAAGATCGCCCACTGGGCATTGAGCCACCTAGGGAAGTAGAGGGTGGGGTAGAGGTTAGCCTGCCGGCCGTGAACGAAGGATGGCACCCGGTGGCGGATTGGGTCGGGGTTGAGCTTATGGAAAATATGGTTTACCTGGTAACGAGGGTCGAGTGGCGCGCAGATGAGCGTGGGGAATGGAACCCGGACCCGCGGGGGCATGTGCGTGTGGAAGGGCGATTGTATGTGTCGGAGGACGGGTGGTGGGAGTTCGGAGTCTGGTTGGCATCAGGTAAGGATCCATTGAGTATGTTTGAAGGGGCATGGCAGTTAGTGTGGAGGGCAGGGTTCGAATTTGCGGATCCGGGATTTGATGATGTAACGACAGACCTTAGGGTAGCTAGGGCCGGAAGTTTTGAATTGCCTAGCGAAAACATTTGGATGAGGCTGCCGCCTTTTTTGCTGGAAAGGCTAGGCGGACTGGAGCTTGTCAGACGAGCGGTAGCTGACCTCGCCAACCTGACATATGAAGAAACGGTGATACACCGAGAATAGTATCGGCCCTTCCTAAAGATGGGGTCGTTCAACGGAGAGCGGAAGTATGAGGTGCTGCGAATCCTGCACGCCATGTTTACCACTAGACCAAGGGCTCCGGTTGTAGGCAGTGAGGTTTTGTGGGCCGTCGTCCGGCGGGAAATAAGTCGGGGGATGACGTACGTAGACGACCTACACCGATTGTATGAGCCGATGGAGGTAGGAACAGGTCGATAGAAGAGCCGAGGAAGGGGAAGGGGATACAGAGGAAAGGGAGCATCAAGCTAAGGACCAGGGAGTCGCTCAGGTAAGGATCGAAGAATAAATGAAATAAGCAAACTCGCTTGCTGTTTAAACTGTGCAGGGGACCGCTAAATCGAAATGGCGATGAGACGCGCCCGGATGTCGCGACGGCCCACGCAAGCCCGACCCCCCACGGAAAGCGGAGACGGATGGGAGGTATCGCTCCCAGCAAGCTACAGGGTCCGAGGGATCGATACCGAATGGAGAGCCGTAACCTTGGGAAGGGACCAGGTTCATGATGGTGGAATGTTTGTGGGATGGTATGAGAATTAACAGGGGACCAGGGGACGATCTGTATACTGACCTCAGGGTGACAGGAACCGTATACCTACCAGAACTTGGATGGCACATGTTAGGAACGAAACTGGCGCTAGGGCATGGGTTGTTACCAATCTTCCAAAGGGCTACTAGGGTACTGAACCGAGTAGGCCAGGAAGTGCGAGGGAGAAGGAATGTGGGACTGAGAACCCGGGTGGAGGTAGGAGGTTGGCGAGAATTTAAAACCCCAATGACAGGGCTGAGGTGCCGAGTCCCCTGCTTCATGGTGGACCTGGTATTTGGCCCTCAAGAGGGCCAGGGACCTGGTGGATTCGACCCTGGTCTGGGTCCACCACTTCCGGCCACAAACAACAGGGATGTTTTACGATGTGTCGGTCAGGCATGGGCCGTTTTGGGGAAATCAGGCCTGTGAACTGCTTGAACTCATCGAAATCTTGATATTCGGATTGCCCCGCTCGTCGTTTGAGGAATACGAGCCAATAATCGTCAGGGAAATAGAGATGGGAGAAAATTACCTTGCCGGGGTGGCAGACTTGTTCGAGGAACCGGACGAACAGGGCAGACCTGAGGGACTAGCGTGAAAAGAGGCGCCAGGGGCAAGATGAGAAAATGAAAGGATGGGTATTAAGATGAGAAAGTAGCCATCAGCAAGAGGGGGGGGGCATTGGTTGGAGTTCCGCCCTACCTGACGATGCGGTAGGAAGGAACTAGGAAGACCACCCGCACCAGGAACGCCGGGGCATTTGGGTGTCAGAAAGCCGAAAGCGCTATCCTCAAGAGGAAGGCCGTTGGGCTCAGACACCGCCCCAAGAGCCGAGGCAGGGCGACGACAAAATGCCAGACCTCGGCAGCAAGTCCCCCGGCGGAAGGAAATCTAAATGGTCTTTTGTGGAAGAAAAGTCAGGAGTGTCGTCCCGACTTATGAAAGACGGAAAAAGGCTTGAAAACAACCGGGTTTTAGGGCTGGAACTAGGGAAGCCATGAACAACTGGCCATTTTTTGCAAAAAAAAATTCCCATGTGCAGGCTAGGTAAAGAAATGGCGTTACAAGAACAGGACGACAACCAGCAGAACAGAGGGAGTCAGGGTACTAATAGGGACGAGGAACAGAACGAGGGGTCGGATCAGGAATCAGCAAAGACAGAAGAGACCAGAGAAGAAGGGAAGGGTCTCTCCACAGGGGAGAGTTCAGGAAAAGTTGGGGGTAGCAAAAGGGGACCAAGAGAATAGGGAAGGGAGGGACGACGAAAAGGGGAGTCCTCGGAACTCCGGAGGAACCACGCCCAAGAAAACAAAAGTCTCGGATGCACGCCGCAAATTGGCAGAAATAGAAAGGCGGACCGCAGAGTACAAGGCAAGACTTATTGAACAAATGATGGCTGAGAATGAAGAGGATCCCCAAGGGGAGGGGTCGCGAGAGGGACGCAGGACCAGTCAGGGCGAAGCCAGGTACGGAGCAAAAGATAACAGCCATAAGGGAACACCCAGCAAGAAGGGGAAGGAAAAGGGGGAGTCCCCAACTATAGAGGCAGAAAAGGCCACGACCCCGCCGACTATCGATAGCGTCGCTAGTCGTCTGCCCGCCATATCCAAAGCAACGAAGGGATGCGACAGACTCTGGAGTCTCGGAGAGAGGGTGTTAGGCTGGTTTGATCCGGAGGGAACACCGAAAACCGGGGAAAAGCACAAGGAAGGCAGGGAAGGAGAGGGGAATAGTGCGGTCGGTGAGGCGGGTAGCTCTGAAGGGGGACTTAAAAGGATAGTAGCCACCCTCACCCGGGCGCTAAATAAGAATCAGGGGTATCTCGCAGACGCAAAGAAGAAACTCACTTTCGATGGGGCAAACATCACGGAATTCCTGATAGATTACGAGAACCTGGCAGCCTTACTGAAGTAGACTGAGGAAGAAAAGATGGACCACCTAGGGCAGTACGTATCGTTGAGCTTAGGAAGGGACATTATGGCTATCGTCTCCTCTAGTGGATCCTGGAAGGAAACCCGGAATGAGATGATGAGAAAGTACCTAAAGGCGGAGAAAATGGCGACAGAGGCTGAATTGGCGGCAGTCCAAAGGAAAAACTATGCTACTTACAATGACTTTCTGAGGGCGTTCACTCTAGTGGGACTGCGAATCCCCGGGGTAACGGATCGAATAATGAGCAAGTACTTCCTTAGGCAGTTCTCTGAGTTCGACAAAGATAAGATTCTGTCAGCTTACCAACAGACTAGCAAGTTTGAGTACACTAGGGATGTGGACTTCAGCACGGTAACAGACCTCGCAGAAAAGACAGTGGTAACCGATACGCTAGCCCTGCTCAAGGAAGGGGAGGTTATAAACTTGACTTGGAAGACAGGGGATAAGGTCAAGAAGGGGATAGAGAGCTTGCACGAACGAGTGCACGGGGTTGACAGCAAGATGGAAAAAATGAAAAATGCGCTATTAGCTAGGCTACCGAACCCGCCCGACCGGGCGACCCGGGCCTGGGCAGCCCGGGCCCCCCGCACAGGGTACCCCGGGCGAGTGATTTTTGGCCCCATTTTTTTTTTTTTTTTTTTTTTAACTTAG